TAATGTGATACAGGCTTGAAAACAGCTGAAATTCTAGATTGCATAACAAAAAATGGTTATATAGACTATGGGGAGTGATGGTCTTCTTGGAATCCTAAGTTTCTTGGCATAATATGTTGAAAGGGATAGAGAAAAACTAGAGCTCATTCATAGTAGAATGACCAGAATGATAATAGAGATAGAAACCATGACATATAATGAAACATAGGATGTACTGAGACCAGATGTGGTAGCTTATGCCTGTAATCCCAACACTCAGGGAGGCTGAGGTGGGGTGGATCACTTGAGGTCAGAAGTTTGAGACCCGCTTGGCGAACATGGTAAAACCCCATCACTACTAAAAACACAAAAATTAGCCGGGCGTGGTGGCACATGCCTGTAGTCCCAGCTACCTGGGAGGCTAACGTGAGAGAATTGCTTGAAGGAGGTGGAGCTTGCAGTGAGCTGATAGGGAACCATTGCACTGTAGCACGGGTGACAGAATGAGACCCTGTCTCAAAAAATAAGGAAAGGAGGAAGGGAGGAAGGGAGGAGGAAAGGAGGGAAGGAGGGAAGGAACTGAGAGACTGCCTGTTTCGCAAGTACCCCAAGTGCTAAGAACAATCTGGATGTGCAAAAGTCTTGCCCCATCTCCCTCGTTTTGTTTGTTGTTGACCTTTGAACTCCAGAATCGGTAGGTTTTGCTGAGTTGGGAGCCTTGAGGCCAGGGGAGTCACTAGTACATGCCTTGTTGTATATTGATCAGGAGAGAAGATTGAAATAGCTGCCTATTTTGGAAATGTTAAGCAGACCTTCTGTAGGGTCTTTTATACTTCTCAGAGTAAAAAGCCTATAAAGCCTGAGTCAGGAGAACATCATTTGATGCCAGAGAAGTAAAAGTGTTGGGTGAAATTCCTTGCAGTGAGGACAGAGGTTGTTGTGGTGCTCAGCCTATTGGCAGTGGAAGAAGAGCCTATCTTCCTTACTTCACTGCAGAGACTATCAAAAAGCAACAGTGTCCTTTCTACTGTATCCCCAGTCTTTTTGTAACAGTCATACTCATTTCTTCTTCTTCCCTACTTGAGGGGAGAAAAAGCCTGAATTTATAGTATACATTTTTGTGTACTTTTCTTATTAGAGTAGAAATTCTTTTAAGGAAAATATTTTACTCTTTTTTTAAAAATTCCCATGTTACCCAATAAAGTACCTTACCCGTATGATAATTATTGTGTAAAGTCCTCCTGAACTAGTTTCACGCACCTGGCTACCACAGCACGTCATACATACCTGTTAGAGCACTTATGTTGCATTGTAAGTTTTTGTTTTTGTACACCTCATGAAATGTAAGCCCTTTGAGAATAGGGTGGAAACGATCTTACTCAGTTTGATATCCCAACACCTGTTACGTTATCTGGCACTTAGTAAATAATCAGTAAATTTATATGAAATAAATAAATGAGTATAGAACTATGCTCACATCAAATGCTCCGAATTCAAGGATATCTCCAGAATTACCTTTCTTATATCATTGTGTCCCTTCCCCTCTCCCTTGGTCTTCTCATTGTTGATTCTACAAATAAAAAAGAGAAAGTATGAGTTTAATTATGAATATACCGAGTTTCAGGATGTCCTGACAGTGTTTCCAAATGAATATATGTAGTAAGCATTTAGATGAAAGAATCTAAAAATCAAAGAAAAGATTAAATTTGAGAGTTCTTGAACCACAAGAATGTATGCGATCGTCATGCATATAATAAAGCATTAGAAGTTCATTAAGAATAGAACTCAGAATTTAAATGAAGAAGAAAGCAGACCCATGAAGAAAAGACAGAAAAATAATGATCTGAGAGTAATAAAAAGCCAGAGAAGCTCCGCCACCCAATCCCCCCCAAAAGCAAAAACAAAACATAAAGGAAATCAGAGAAATTTGAAAGTTTTTATCAATAGTGTCAAATATTGCAGAGTAAGACAACTGAAAACTACCCTTTGGATTTGATCATTAAGGAGTCACATAATCTTATTGAGAACAATTTCATTAGAATAGGAGGAGGAAAAGCCCCATTACAGTGTTTTGGGGTCTAAAAGTAAAATGAAAAACTGGAAACATCATGTGTAAGAATTCTCTTAAGATTAAAAGAAGAAAGGTAAGATGGTAGTTATATCCTTGTAAAGTCTAGGATCCAGGCCTCCCTCCTAATCCCTTAATGCCTGACCAGTCTCCCAAGAGTGGAACTTGAAGCCAGAACAAGGAACTAGGCCTTTCTTAGAAACATGGGCCAAGGCAGATTCAGAAGATAGTAGCTTTTCTGCCACTTCATGTGTGCAATATAATATTTATATGTGCATCTTTCTCCTATAAGGGTATCTCAGATCATGTGTGCTACAAACTCCAACTCTTTCTGTTTCCCACTCAAAAATCTGTAGTATATTTTTACAATGCGTGTGTGTGTGTGTATATATATACACACATATATACACACACATATATATATATACACACACACAGTTTAATTACTAACAGATTACCTCTTGCTTCCTCTTCACAGTTAATCATAGTGCATTAGTGTGTTTTGAGACCATCATTGATAATTGGAACTGAGTAGTAGTAGTTCAGTAAAGTTACTAATGCATCTAGAGCCTTATCTGAGTGGTTCCAGTGTCATTGACATAAGATTTTCTCAGTATCAGTGTTGTCATCAGTGAATTTCATAAAACTTTTTAGACCAGAAGGCAGAAAAGCTGTTTGCTAATCCAGGTCTGTGACTTTGCCATCACCCTTGTGTTCTCATAATTCACTTAACAACAAGCAAGTATAGGCATAGACGGAGGTTCATGTCTCTGCTTTCTCTACAGAAGGTGGCAGCCATGTTCCTTCATAGCTCAGTTTTTGTTACAGTGAAATCCTGTTGTCATAAAATAGTCATGATCCGCTCCTACTAATGATCCCTTTGTGAGGCTAAATATGGCAGAATTCATTCATTTTTCTGGGCCTTGGATTTTTGTTTCTTTAGACATGCTTTTCATGTCTGTTAAAGTCAACATGTCCAAAACTGCAGTAAGCAACTCTTGATCTCAACTTTTTCTTTATGTAGGTTAATCATACTGCCATTTTCTCAGATGCCCACGTCAGAAGCCTGGAAATCATACTTGATTCCTCCCTGTTTAACCCTAACCAGAATCCATTCACTCAGGCTCTTAAATGTCACAAATAATAATTCACTAGCTTCTGTCCCAATTACCACCAGTCTACTCCAGGCAGCTTTCATCTTTCACCCAGATTATTATGACAACTTTCTAACTAGTTTTATTGTCTCCAATCTTTCTTCTCTTTTATTCTTCAGATCAGATATATTTTTCAAAAATGTAAATGGATTATTTCATTTCCCTGTTCAAAAGTATTTAGTAATCGTCCTTAGGAGAAAGTCCTGAGAGGGGAGACCCCCTCGCCTCCTTCAATTTCACACTTTCCCCCTTTTCCAGATGGGAAGGAGAGTGAAGAAGGAAAAAAAATGAAATGAAATACCAAAGAGCTGGGAAAATGTTCCCTCTTTTGTTCCCAGCGTCTCTGCTATCTGTTAACCTTGAAAGAGCTGCAAATGAATGCTATCTCTTCTGGCTGGAGCCTGGCACTGGTTCACACCCCCACGTCTCCACAGACCAGGTTCCCTCCTGGAAACACCTCTGCCAATAAACAGATTGTTGCTTTTGTCTTGTCTCTGTAAGCCCCTCTCCCTTGCTGGTCCCCTCTTGCGCTGCATATGAATTAGCAAATCATTGAAAACAAAAGATTGTAAGGTCAGACGTCCAGCAAATGGACAATAACATAGTTCCCCTCAGTTTCATCTTTAGCGTTGTAAGCCTATAAAAGGGGAGAGAAGCTGCAGCTCGGGGAGCTCGGTGAATGAGACTGTTGCCTGCTGCAGCTCCTGGCCGAAGGAAAAACCACTTTCTTCCTCAGTTTGGTAATGGAGAGGTTTGTTCCCTGCCGCTCCTGCTACAGTCCAAACTTTTTCTTTTTTCTTTTTTTGAGACAGAGTCTCATTCTGTCGCCCAGGCTGGAGTACACAGCAACCTCTGCCTCCCAGGTTTAAGCAGTTCTCTACCTTAGCCTTCTGAATAGCTGGGATTACAGGCTCATGCCACCAAACCCAGCTACTTTTAGTGTTTTTAGTAGAGACGGGGTTTCACCATTTTGGCCAGACTGGTCTTGAACTCCTGACCTCGTAATCCACCTGCCTCAGCCTCCCAGAGTGCTGGGATTACAGGTGTGAGCCATTGCACACACCTGGTCGAGAAAGTCCCAAGTCTTTAACAGGATCTTATAAGGTGCTTCGTAATTTGCCTTATCTTTGTGACACTTTTTCACTTCATTCTCTGCCTTGGCCATACCACTCCTTCAGTTCCTTATGCTACCATATTCATCCTCACTTTGAAACTTTTTAACTGCTAATGCTTTGACATTGCAGCTTCTATATTTTGACCAGGTAACTCCTACTATTCTTTATAATGCAACTTGAATATTACTTATTTGGGGAAACTTTCTCTGTAACCCTCAACTAGCTTAGTTGCCCTTGCTATGTGCTCCTATAGCATCTTTTATTTTTCCTATGATGGCACTTAGTACCTTTTAATTTTAATTAACTGTTAAATCTTTAGAGTAGAAACTCCATGAGTGAAGTTACTGTGCTGTCTTGCTGGTAATCTTTCAGAGATGGAAGGGACTTTCGTGGGATCTATGTTTCTCAGCACCCATAGTGTTCATGTGTAGGATGAATAGCCCCAGGTTTGGAATGGAAAGCCTTTAAGACCTTTCCAATCAAATAGTTTTTTTCCACATATTCAAGGCACATGCATATGTCTACTTTAAAAGTCTTTGTAAATCAATGAGAAATAATTCACCTAATGGATAACGCTGAGTAGTCAATGACTAATGGCGTAGAGAGAACCAAAGAGATATTTTTAATTTAGAGTACTGTAGGTGGAATTTTTGAAATTAATCTTGTATTTTATATCTCTCATAGGTGAAATGAACCAGAAATACAAGGAGCTAAGAAAAAGGGAGGAAAATATGGACAGTAAGTGACATTTGTATAGATATAGAAATACTGTATTTTCAGATTGCTGTTCATTTATACCAAATCAGAGACCTCATTTTAGGCAGCTATAATGGCTAATAAATGCAGAAGTGTGGAGATTCAAAGCATTTTGCCTTGAAGAATAATTTCTAGCATAATTTAGAGATGGGTAGAAAATTCTAAAAAGATGTGTAATGAGTATCTGTACACTGGGGATAGATTCTAAAGCTAGTACTTTGAAGTCTGTATAGAAGAAGCCTACAGACCAGGGGTCCCCAACCCCCAGGCTGCAGACCAGTAGGAACCAGGCCGCATACCAGTTAGATTGCTGATCTGTAGCAGCATTGGATTCTCAGAGGAGTGTGAACTCTATCACATGTGAGGGATCTAGGTTGCACTTTCCTTATGAGAATCTAACTAATGCCTGATGATCTAAGGTGGAACCTTTTCATCCCAAAACCTTCACCCACATCTGCCCCCTGGCTCTGTTCCATAGAAAAATTGTCTTCCATGATCCCTGGTGCCAAAATGGTTAGGGACTGATGCTATAGACCATTTATTGATTGAATGTTCTCTTTTACATGTTTCACGATATTCACCTTTAGTATCTTTCACTTTTATTTTTAGCTTTCCGTAATGCTTATCTCATTTATTAGCCCTCATGTCAGATATTGTCACTTTGTTCTATTACCAGCTGTTATTTTAGTCGCCTTTTGTTACAGTTTTTGATTCACTTAAAAAAGTGACTCAGCCTGACTTTATAAATTGATTTTTACTTAAACTTATGTTATATATTTATACTTTAAAAAAAATTGGCATGTATTATCTATTACTGGTTTCCTTTTGTCATTTTGCTAGAATCTGAATTCTAGCAAAGTGCTAAAATTTCATCTAGGTCTTATGTCAATAGTTACCTTCCTGGAGGCATGCTATATATAAAACAGTAATTGTCAGCTCTTATTTCACTGTTTACCAAGATTTCTTTAACAAGTCAGCAAATACCAAAAATTATCTCAAAAAAATTTTTTTAAAGTCTTTTGGTAAAGGAGAAAGGTGTAAAATCAAGGAACAGTGTGTCATAACACCACAGTATTGGAAATTACTAGATACTACCTGGCATGGTATCTGGCACTTAGGTGTCAATGAATGTTCATTTGATGAAAGTTTACTGAATGAATTGAAGGAATTCCCATACTACAGAATCTTAAAATAGAAAGTCATGTATCTCAGATTTCTTTCTATGTTTTATGGTTTGTTTTCCTTAAAAGAATAACTCCTGAAAAACAATGTTCATTTATGCCTTTTTATATATAAAAATCTCATATGGCTGCTTAATGTATGATCAGCAGGTTATGAAAGCAGGATATTCACACATAAGACCTGTGTGAATACTGAAGCAGGAAATTAAAGAAAATTCAGTTTTATTTGGGAGGCCAAGACGGGTGGACCACAAGGTCAGGAGATCAAGACCATCTTGGCTAACACAGTGAAACCCCGTCTCTACTAAAAATACGAAAAGTTAGCCAGATGTGGTGGCATGTGCCTATAATCTCATCTACTCGGGAGGCAGAGGCAGAAGAATCGCTTGAACTCAGGAGGCTGTGGCTGCAGTGAGCCAAAATTCAGCCGCTGCACTCCAGCCCTGGGGGATACAGCAAGACTTTGTCTCAAAAAAAAAAAAAAAAAATTCCGTTTTATAAAAACTGTTGATTTTGGTCCTCTACCACCATATTCAAATAATGTTTTGTGGGAAGACAGTTTCAATTTAAAAATATACTAAGTATAATGAAAAAGGATAATGGAAATCCATTACAGAAGGCAAGCTATTGACATTTATTTCATGCTGTCAATAAAATTACTTTTGACTGAAAGTTTCTGTTTTTTAGACACTCCATAGAAATACTTAAAAATGTAAATGAGAGCTGGTTCTATATTAAACAAGTAAAAAGACGATTTCCTAGAATATTTAGAATCTGAATAAATTATTGAATTTATTTAGTTGAAACAAATCCAGCATTATAAATAAAATACTCATTTTCAGATAAAATAGGTATTCAGCAATGGAAATTTTAGAAATAAAGTTAGTAGCCAGAGTGTTAATAATTATTGATGTATCAAAGGAGATCTATATAAAAGCAAATTTCTTCTGATTGTCATTTTATCAGCTATTTCTTTTGACTGTATATTTATAACTTTGTGATTTACTTATATCAGGGTCACAGAAGTTAGGCAGTTTGAAAGTATGTGAAGCTGTTATTGAATAACTACCTTTCGGTTAATAACGGATTAAACAATTGTAGCTTAAAATTTCTAAAAAGCACTCTTAAGACCTACAAATCAGAGTTTCTTCAGTGTTAACTCTTATCAACAGTAACGTCTCTTATGTTTTCCAATTGTCAGCTTTTATTGAGACTTTTGAGGAAACAAAGAATCAGGAACTGGAACGAAAGGCACAGATAGAAGCCAGCATCGTTGCACTCTTGGAGCACTGTAGTCGAGTAAGTACCATGTGCCTGTCTTGGTGTCCGCTTTATTTTTGCTGTGATTGACTTTCCAAATGCAAGTCAAAAAATAGAGTGACCCACTATTATGTCTTCTTATTTAATTGCTTCCTTTAAATTGCCTCACTTGTTACTATTTATTTCAGCTATTAATTTTTTATCACTCTGGCAAAATGTCAGCTAATTAGGGCAATAGATAAAAAGGATGACAATGTATAATATCAATATTCAGCAGTAAATGAAGCACTAATTCAGACTAATTATTATGATCTTCTTCCATTGTTAATCTATCTGAACATTGAAAGTAACATTTGCACAGATAATTTCAAAGCCTAGACATGTTAGAACATGTTAACATATTTTTATACTGTAAATTTTATTGTAAATAAAAAGGGTTCTTGTATGTATACATAATGAGTATCTCAAATTATCAAAAAATGTTTATTGGGCATCTATGTATAGTACCATGGAAGGAAAAATTCACGGTCCCTTTTCAATATTCTTAGTGTTTTAAGACTCCGGGTCAGGTGCGGTGGCTCACGCCTATAATGTCAGCACTTTGGGAGGCTTAGGCAGGCGGATTATGAAGGCAAGAGATCGAGATTGTCCCGGCCAACATCGTGAAACCTCGTCTTTACTAAAAATACAAAAATTAGCTGGACGTGGTGGTACGTGCCTGTTGTCCCAGCTATTGGGGAGGCTGAGGCAGGAGAATCACTTGAATCTGGGTGGTGGAGGTTGCAGTGAGCCGAGATCACACCACTACACTCCAGCCTTGGCGACAGAATGAGACTCTGTCTCAAAAAAAAAAAAAAAGTTGATTTTCCGGGCTAAAGGATATGCATACAAGGATATGCACCACTGCACTCCAGCCTGGGGACAGAGCGAGACTGTCTCAAAAATAAATAAATAATTAAAAGACTTCAACCAGTTCCTAAAATAGTGTAGTTGAATTTTTTTCTACAGTGAAATAAAGGAAATGTAAAAAAACCACCATGACGAATTTATGGTCTGTCTTTATTGAGAAAACCCAATTTTGAATCTCATTTTCTATAAAACATGTAAGTTGAATGGGGTGTATTTCAAAAACAAGTTACCTAATCAAAACATATTATCCTTGGCTGGGCACGGTGGCTCACCCCTGTAAATCCCAGCACTTTGGGAGGCCAAGGCAGGTGGATCACCTGAGGTCGGGAGTTCAAGAGAAGCCTGACCAACATGGAGGAAACCCCATTTCCACCAAAAATACAAAATTAGCTGGGCATAGTTGCAGGCTCCTGTAATCCCAGCTACTCAGGAGGCTGAGGCGGGAGAATTGCATGAACCTGGGAGGGGAGGCTGCAGTGAGCCGAGATGGAACCATTGCACTCCAGCCTGGGCGACAAGAGCAAAACTCTGTCTCAAAAAACAAACAAGACATCTCATCTTTTGACAGTGTTTTCCAAGGGTTTTATTGAGAGGGAAATCAATGGATTTTTTTCCTATTTTTATTTCTCTACAAATGCAGAATATAAATTGCATGAAACAGATATCCTTTATCACCAATCAAGAACTAAAGATGATGCAGGATGACCTCAATTTTAAATCTACTGAAGTGCAGAAATCACAAAGTACAGCTCAGAATTTGACTTCAGGTGAGAAAACAACCTGAATTTTAATATCTTTTTAAAAAAATATATCAATGTTACTCTCTCTGATTTTTTTAAAGTCTTGTTGACTAAGGCTATAATTTATGATTGAATGTTGCCTCAGAATTTTGTGTGGCTTTTTTCACCGGCTGGCTAGAATTACATTGTATACCATCATTGATTTAACAATATTTATTGAATACTTGTTTCATGCCTGTGCTGTATTGTGGGTCTTGTTAAAGATAAACAAAGCTGAGGCCTGGCGCGGTGGCTCAAGCCTGTAATTTCAGCACTGTGGGAAGCTGAGGCAGGTGGATCACGAGGTCAAGAGATCGAGACCATCCTGGTCAACATGGTGAAACCCCGTCTCTACTAAAAATACAAAAAATTAGCTGGGCGTGGTGGCGCGTGCCTGTAGTCCGAGCTACTCGGGAGGCTGAGGCAGGAGAATTGCCTGAACCCAGGAGGCAGAGGTTACCGTAAGCCGAGATCGCGCCATTGCATTCCAGCCTGGGTAACAAGAGCAAAACTCCGTCTCAAAAAAAAACAAAAAAACAAAATAAAGCTGAAGCTGAGCACAGTGGCTCACGCCTGTAATCCCAGCACTTTGGGAGGCCTAGATGGGTAGATCACATGGTCAACAATTTAGATCAGTGGCCAACATGGTGAAACCTCATCTCTACTGAAAATACAAAAATTAGCCAGGCGTGGTGGCAGGCGCTTGTAGTACTAGCTACTGAAGAGGCTGAGACAGGAGAATCGCTTGAACCTGGGAGGCGGAGGTTGCAGTGAGCCTAGATATCACACCACTGCACCTAGCCTGGGTGACAGAGCGAGACTCCGTCTCAAAAAAAAAAAAAAAGATGCTGTGCTTATGCACAGACTAGCAGACAGAGGTCCTGACTTTCCCGATGATTACATTTTGATGGAATGGCTTTTAGGTCTTTGAGAAAAATACTCCTGAGTTGTGGGAGATGCATATAGATATGGTTTGGATTTTTCGGTCCTCTCCAAATCTTATCTTGAATGTGACCTCCAGTGTTGGAGGTGGGCCTAGTGGGAGATGTCTGCGTCATGGGGGTGGATCTCTCATGAATGGGTCAGTGTCATCCTTTGCGATAAGTATGTTCTCACTCTGTGAGTTCATGTGAGATCTGGTTGTTTAAAGAGCCTGGCACCTCCTCCCTCTCTCTCTTGCCTTGTGACACGCAGGCTCTTCTTTGCCTTCTGCCATGATTGTAAACTTCCTGAGGCCCTCACCAGAAGCAGTTGCTGGCACCATGCTTCATGTACAGCCTGTAGAACCATGAGCCAAATAAACGTCTTTTTTAAAAATGAGTTACCTAGTCTCAGGTATTCCTTTATAGCAATGCAAATAGACTAATACACATATCATCCTAAAGGACAGAGGAAAGATTCACAACTGGATGCTCTAAGAACGGGTAGTCAGGGGCCTGTTGACTGATATGGGCTTATTATTGTACATTTTTTTGGCAGCCTTGAGCTTTCTCCGGCAGGCACTTTAAGCAGGAATAGGGTCATCCTAGGGATGCAGACTTGAGCTGTTAGAAACTGTTTGTTTAAATCTTTTAATGTGGGTGGAAAATGGCACTTGAAATCATTTGTGCTGAGAGTCTGCAACATTTATAGGCAGTGGTTGAGGCCTAGTTGAAAAGAGAGCTCAGGGGAGCCTAGCTAGTTCAGTCAAGGATTAAATCATTATCAGTATAAGAGAGTAAGAAAAAAATCGAATCTGTTTCCCTCAAGAAACTTTCAACCTGGTGGAGTGACAGTTAAGATACAATGAAATAATGCTACGATAGAAGTAAGCATAAGGAGCAACGGAAGTACATAGGGCACATATCCAGCCCAGTCTTGGAGAGTTAACAAGAGATTTTTAATTTTAATTGGTTTCAGCCATGCTCCCTAGTGTGCAACTAGAGCAGCACTGTCCAAGAAAAATGTAATGGCAATATATATATATATATAATATATGTAATTAAAATTTTCTAATAGCCATGTTGAAAAAGTAAAAAGAGTAAAATAAAAGTAAAATAAAAAATAATATATTTTATTTAAACCAGTATATCCAAGATATTATTTTAACACGTAGGCTACATTAAAAATGATCAAAGAGGTATTTTATCTTCACGGCATTTCAATTAGGACTAGCCTTATTTATTTATTTATTTATTTATAGGGTCTCACTCTCCTTGCCCAGGCTGAAGTGCAGTGGCATGATCACAGCTCACTGCAGCCTTCACTTCCTGGGCTCAGGTGATTCTCTCACCTCAGCCTCCAACTAGCTGAGACTACAGGCACGCACAACCATACCTAGCTAATATTTTTACTGGAGATGAGGTTTCACCATGTTTCCCATTCGGGTCTCAAACTCCTGGGCTCAAGCCATCCGCCCACTTCGGCCTCCCAAAGTGTTGGTATTACAGGCATAAGCAACTGTACCCGACCTGGGCTAGACATACTTAAAAGTGCTCAAAATGTGGCTAATGGCTGGCTGCCATTAGAATGGTACAGGTGGAGCTTAGACACAGATATACAAAGTTGAGTTTAAAGAGCCTGGGATAAAGTCATGTTAAAATTTGTATGGAATCTTTGGTTTCTAACTATGGGTTTTCTTTATGCTAGTGTGTGGCAGCTTTGAATTAGCTATGTTTTTGTCTACCTGGAATTGCTATAGTTAGTGAGATAATGAGAAATGAAAACCTAATTAACATTTGTTAACTTAAGAATGCTGAAGAAAGATCTTTGAAAGGGAAGAATGGATCCATAATACTTTTATCTGAATTCCCCACATCTAAAAAGATACTAGCAGCAAAACCTAACCTGACCTGAACTGACATGAGGCTACTTATAGTTTTTAATTATCCTACCTAGTGTGACTATTTAACGCTTTTGCTGCAGAAGTTTTTGTGTACTTGACGACAAGGTATTCCCTCAGACCCTGCTGTGGGCGTTATGTAATCATTAGTATATGTGCTATATTACTTTTCTAAAATCCAAAGAATTCTGAAATACAACTTCCCGAGAGTTTTCGAAAAGGGATTATGGACCTATAAACGCATACTGAATGCTATTGATCGCATTAATAGTGGTGATGTAGGTATACAATTGCTGTTATTTCATACATTTAAGCCTATTTTACATCCAGATTTGTTGAGTTTGTTTGCCTTAGTTTTATTTGTATGTCCATATGCCAAGCAACTGGAGAAATTACGTTCTTGATAAATATCTATTGGTTTGACTGTGAGAATATTTTTATTGTGGTAAAAAAACATAACAAAATTTATCATCTTAACCATTTTGAAGAGTACAGTATGGTAGTGTTAACTGTGTACATTGTTATACAACAAACCTCTAGAACTTTTTCATCTTGCAGAACTAAAACACTATACCACCTGAACAACTACTGCATATTTCCCTATTTCCTGACCCCTGGACACCACCGTTGTACTTCTGTGACTCTTGATTACTTTAAATTACTTCATATAAATGAAGTTATACAGTATTTGTCATTATGCGACTGGCTTAGTTCGTTTAGCATAAAGTCCTCAAGGTTCATCCATGTTGTAGCAAAGAAGGATTTTCTTTTTTAAGATCGAATAACATTCTATTGTATGTATATATCATATTTTAAAATCTATCTAGAGACATTTAAATTGCTTCCATGTTTTGGCTATCCTGAGTAATGCTGCAGTGAACATGGGTGTGTAAGTATTTCTTCACGATCCTATTTTCAATTCTTTTGGACATATATGAATATTTTAAAATATTTTCTATTTTCTATAAACTAAATAATTTTATGGTTTTATTATTTCATCTAGAAACCTCTGTTTTCCGTTTTAGACAACCATGCTTAAGTTTTTCATTTTTCTAAGGTCAATGTAAATTCAGCAAGCTTTTCCCCCTTTAACCTATCTCTCTGTAACAGCTGTCAAGAAATGTACATTTTTTTTTAAGGCAAAAATCAAGACCAGGAAACAAATTCAATAATCAAGACTTTGTATTTACTCCATACTTTGTACTTTGTGTTTATAACAATCAGTCATTATGTTTTCTTTTTGTGTTTATAACAACTAGTCATTATGACTTCTTTTTAGCAACTAGTCATTATGTTTTTCTAGAGATGTACAGTTTGAAAAAAAATTAGAACTGGCTTCATTGGAGATAAAAATCCAATTTAGTACTATGATAAGTATTTTGCTGGAAATTTTTCTCAGTAAGGGTTAGATTCTTTTATGCTTACAATTAATTTTATTTACTATACTATTTTCATGTTAAACCAACCATATAATTTATTCTTCCTTTATTTCCCTAACACTATCCCTTACCTCCAGAAATTTTTTGTATCATGAAAGCATCATAAGAGGGTTATAATATTCTTGTTCGCCTTTTAGAGATAATGGATTTGGTGTACTCCCTGTTTGTTTGTTTGTTTTACTTTTAATGGAGCAATTGCTTCTGGGGGGAGGGGGAAGAAAACTTAGATATTATAATGGACCTCCAAAGGTCGATGTACCTAAATAACTATACACACATTGGTGATGCGAAAATTTCAGGGGTGGGAGGTGATTGGGGGATAAGTCTATAACCGAGTTCTTAGGGAGTCAATAATATAAGAAAAAGATTGAGAAACGCTGATGTACTGCATGGGTAAAGAGGCAAGGAATTTATCAGCAATAGTTTTTATTTATATTTTTGGAAAGGAAACTCCAGAGAGTAAACAAATGTGCTGATGACAGACTATCTTAGAAACACTTCCCCAGGTCAAAGTGGTTCTCTCTGAGATTTTGCTACTATGTACACATTGGTTGGTAAACTTTGCAACTTCAGAGCATATCAGAAGGAACTAGACTGCATCCTCTTCCTGTCTCTTCCTTGGAGTAGCATTTAGCTTTTCATTGGGGACCTATTGTTAAAGGAAGATAAACTTTACCTTATACCAACCATTTTCTCCTTTTCTCAGGAAAAATCAATTTGTATGGTTCTTACATGTATTTCCCTAGTATATATTCAAATTAAACTTGCAAGTTAGATTTATATCACTGCTTACTCCAAATGGTCAAAGTATCTCCAGGCTCAAAACAGTTCCTATTTAGAGCATTATACTAGCATAAGCCTTAGTCACTTGTTCAGCTCTTTGATTCTCATAACTATTTCTAACCTTGGTAAAGATAAGAATCCAACAAAACAAAACTCTGCAACAACATTTAAGTCTTGCTATATACGTATTTGTATTTATATTTATGTGTACATATATATTTTTAAATAATGTATGTTGCTATGGTTGACTTTTAAAACTTAAAGGGATAAAAGGAAACATTCAAGAAATACTGGCTTAATTATACTGACTTTAAAAATTTTGGTTAGACAACAGCCTCTTAAACCAATGACATTGGAAGCATTGTTTTTTAGTCTTCAAATTCATTCATATTCATTTACTATTCACTATGCTGAACTTGTTACTGGCTCAGAGGTACTATGCTTTCTTACCTCTAGACTTTGCACATGCTGATTGTATTTCCTGAAATACTTTTACCTTCCTCTTTGTGAGGCATTCATAAACCTTAAGCTTTTAGTTGAAAGGCTTGTCTTTAGAGAGCTCTCTTGATTCCTGTTACATGCTTTTATGACACCCTGTACTAGTATTTTCACATTTATCCAGTTTATTGTAAACACTTATTTAATTACCTGCTTCGACCTCTAAAATATAGCTAGCTCCCTGAGTGAAAACAATGTCTCTGTTGATTTCTGTTATATCCTCAGCACCTGGCACATAGATGGTTGATATTTTTGAATGAAAGAATGAGACACACATAGCTAGCCTCATTATTCATAGTTTATTTGTGAATTTGTCTTCCCATTGAAGTACTTTGTAACCCCCAATTCAATACTTGCAACATTTTTGTGGTCATTTGTCGACATGCTCAGACTCGCAGACTCCTGAAAAATTTCAACAGCCTGACATGCACATTGCCAAGGGAAGTAGAAAAAGGCAGTACTCTGCCTTCTTGTATCAGTTCTCATACTATAAGCAGTTTTCCTTTTTGCAGTATATTTAGTGCTATGTGTTTTTGCATTTTTGTGCTTTTTGTTGGTGATCATGCTGTTTAAAATGGCCCCAAGCAAAGTGCTGATGGACTTAAGTGTTCCGAAGCACAAGAAGGCTGTAATGTGCCTTATGGAGAAAACGTGTGATAGATAAATTTAATTCAGACATAAGTTACAGTGCTGTTGGCTGTGAGTTCAGTGTTAGTGAATCTACAGCCTATATTAAGTAAAATGTCTTTAAATAGAGACACACATAAATCAAGATTATGTATTGATAAATTGACTAAAATGTGCCTAAAGGCTCACAGGAACTTAATTCTGTATTTCCCTTATGAGCAGGTCAGTGTTTGCTAACACATTGTTCACGATAACTTTTTAGAACAAAACTACCAGGACATAACTACCACAGATAGTAAGAATTGATTCCATGTGCACTTATAAAATTGTGCTCAAATATATATAAAATGTTTTATAACTTGTTTTTTTCCTACATAACCATCTGTGTCATGCTTCTATTAAAAATAATGGGTCTTGCCAGGTGCAGTGGCTCACGCCTGTAATCCCAGCACTTTGGGAGGCCAAGGCGGGCGGATCACAAGGTCAAGAGATCAGATCGTCCTGGCTAACGTGGTGAAACCCTGTCTCTACTAAAAACACAAAAATTAGCTGGATGTGGTGGCGCGCGCCTGCAGTCCCAGCTACTTGGGAGGCAGAGGCTGGAGAATTGCTTGAACCTGGGAGGCGGAGGTTGCAGTGAGCCATCTCACCACTGCACTCTAGCCTGGCACCTGCCAACAAAGCAAGACTCTTGTCTCAAAAAAAAAAAAAAAAGGTCTTGGCTAGGCGTGGTGACTCACACCTGTAATCTTAGCACTTTGGGAGGCCAAGGCAGGTGGATCTCAAGATCAAGAGATGGAGACCATCCTGGCCAACATGGTGAAACCTCGTTTCTACTAAAAATGTAAAAATTAGCCGGACTTGCTGGCCCGAACTTGTAGTCCCAGCTACTTGGCAGGCTGAGGCAGGAGAATCACCTGAGCCAGGGAGGCAGAGGTTGCAGTGAGCTGAGATTGTGCCACTGCACTCCAGCCTGGTGACAGAGTGAGACTCTATCTCAAAAAAAAAAAAAACAGTCTTTTTCTCATAATGTAGACTGTATTGCTAAGAAAGAAAAAAACTTGTATGTTTGTTAGTGTGGAGACAGTTGTGGCTAATGTACATCAGGTTGATTCCCTAATATATTGGTTACCTGAAATTGGTTACTGAGGAGATGAGTATTTTTTTTTGTAATTTGTATTCTCACTGGTTACAGTGAACATATATTTCTTTTATGGATACTCTTATAAAACATGATTTTTAATAGTTGCATTACATTTCCTTATGTGAAAGGAATAAAATTTTTATTATCACCTTAAATTCTTATGTTTTAGACAGTCAATGTCTGCAGTTGGATCTGCAGAAAATGGAGGTTCTAGAAAGTAAGATGACTGAAGAACAACATTCTCTAAAAAGCAAAATTAAGCAAATGACAACTGATCTGGAGATATATAATGATCTGGCAGCTTTAAAATCGTCAGGTGAAGAAAAGAAAAAGGTAAATCTTAACCAAGTCTTACAGAATTACAATTTATTTTTTTTTTGATCAAATGTAATATATTTGTGGTTGATAGGATTTGTTATTTTAAGCTGATTATTTGATATATATAAGCTGAGAAAAAATTAAAATGTTTATATATGTAGTTGGAATTTAGAGTGACTTAAAGTTTTAAAGAAAAGCAAAAATTTCAAAGCAAGGTATAAGCTGCTACGGAGCATTTCAGCAAATTTGAGCTTTGTTAAATGCAGATTTGTTTATGACTCTATCCTACCTGAAACTTCTCAGTGGCTTTCCATTGCCATTTACATTAATTTAGACCAAATTTGGTGGGGTAGGGACAGATATGGCAGTGTTAATAGAGTTATTAATACAGATAATATAGCTTATAGTTCAAAGAATTTTTACAAATAGGTTTTAGAGTAGTTATAGCCTTGGTCGAATTTTACCAGAATATAATTATTGAAATTAAGTTAAATATGATTTATACTGGCTTACTGCATATTTTCTATAACCTGTTACTTCTATTTGGATCTTTCTAGAAATTACATCAGGAGAGAATGATCTTATCAACCCGCAGAAATGCCTTTAAGAAAATAATGGAGAAGCTAAACATAGAATACGAAGCACTAAAAACACAATTGCAAGAAAATGAGACCCATTCTCAGGTAAAAAATGTTTTAAATAACTTTGGAATTACCTTAGTCTATATTTTCACCCCACAGCAATCATGTTTTATTTTAAAATTTGCTTCATTGCTCTCTACCTTCTAGATTCTCTGACTTTTTAAGACAGCCAGATTCTGTACAATCTTCACTCAGAATGAATGGACTCCTGCTTTCTTACCTTCTATAAACCTATATTGAAAGCCAACTGTGTTAGACACTATCTCAGGCACAACTATTATGATATATGCAGTACTATCTTTTAAAATTTCAAAAGTGGGACATTACTAATACAGAAACTAAAAATCCATAAAATCACAAATAAAATAAATTCTAGTGACTAATACCCCACCACCCAGAAGAGAGAATGCTTATTGTTGCGTTAGTATGGGTCCTTTTTTTTTGGAAAAAGAGTCTCACTCCATCACCAGGCGCCAGGCTGGAGTGTAGTGGCGTGACCTCAGCTCACTGCAACCTCCACCTCCCAGGTTCAAGCAATTATCCTGCCTCAGCCTCCTTAAGTAGCTGTGACTAAAGGTGTGTGCCACCACGCCCAGCTATTTTTTTTTGTATTTTTAGTAGAGACGGGGTTTCACCATGTTGGCCAGGATGGTCTCAATCTCTTGACCTCGTGATCCGCCCACCTCGGCCTCCCAAAGTGCTGGGATTACAGGCGTGAGCCACTGCATGGGTCCTTTTAGTAGGTAAGTAGGTAGGTAGATTAGATAGATAGATACATAGACAGACAGATACATAGAGAGATAATGTGTATACACATATATATGCATATTCTTAGGTACACATTTATTTCTATGCATTTATAGAAATTGTACCATATTGTACATATTATTTAGGAGCTTGTTTTTAATGATTAGCTATACATCATAAGTACTTTCCCTTGTCAACATATATATTGACTTTAAATTGTTGATAGCCTAGGCCGGGCACGGTTGCTCAAGCCTGTTATCCCAGCACTTTTGGAGGCCGAGGCGCATGGTTCACGAGGTCAAGAGATCGAGACCATCTTGGTCAACATGGTGAAACCCCGTCTACTAAAAATACAAAAAAATTAGCTGGGCATGGTGGTGCATGCCTGTAATCCCAGCTACTCTGGAGGGTGAGGCAGGAGAATTGCCTGAACCCAGGAGGCGGAGGTTGCGGTGAGCCGAGATCGCGCCATTGCACTCCAGCCTGGGTAACAAGAGCGAAACTCCATCTCAAAAAAAAAAAAAAAATTGTTGATAGCCTAATGATATTCTAGTATATGGATGTAGCATAATTTATTGAACCAATTCCCTTTCATTAGATATTTAGGCAATTTCTAGTTTTAAAACTTAATGCTATAAAGAACAATCCAGTTATCCTTGAACTTCTTAATTCATATCTCCAGTTATTTACATGGGATGCATAAACATATAACTGCACTCCCCTTTTCGTATCACTCATCTTGCTGATAATTACTTGAACAGTGTGTGAAGTCAAGATTGATAGCTGTGATGGGACAGAGATAACATTTACTTTATTCCCTGCACTGTGCTATTGGTTGGCACATAGTAGGTATTCAGCAAGTATTTGTTGAATGATTGAATGAAGCATTATGTATCATATACAAAGTTAGTAACTATGGCTTGAAAAGGATTAGTCCTTCTCATATCTAATTAGTCTATATTAGAAATTTGCACACAGAATTTAAAATGCTGAATACATTAAAAATTCCCTCTTTTTCGTTATATAGTTACATGATCATATAGAGAAAAATAATGTCATTTGATTTCCCACTACCTAGGTACAACCACTGTTAACATTTTGGTCCCATATCCTTGTTGTCTTTTTGTTCTTTGCAATCATACATCCGTATCATTTTTACAAAAAATGAAATCATGCTATTTATACAGTCTCAACATTTTAACTTTTTTTAATCTTTTTTTTCTTTTTTTTAAAAAAAACAAACAGTCTCAGCTGGTGTGGTGGCTCACGCCTATAATCCCAGAATTTTGGGAGGCTGAGGAGGGCAGATCACCTGAGATGGGGAGTTCAAGACCAACCTGGCCAACATGGAGAAACCCCATCTCTACTAAAAATACAAAATTAGCCAGGTGTGGTAGCACATGCCTATAATCCCTGGTACTTGGGAGGCTGTGGCAGGAGAACACTTGAATCTGGGAGGCAGAGGTGGCGGTGAGCTGAGATCGCGCCATAGCACTCTAGCCTGGGTAACGAGCGAAATTCCATCTCAAAAAAAAGAAAAGAAAAAAGAAAAAAATAGAGTCTCACTGTGTTGTTGCCCAGGGTTGGAGTGCGTGACATAATTGTAACTTACTGTAGCCTTGAGCTTCTGGACTCAACCGATCCTCCTGCTTCAGCTACCCAAGTAGCTAGGACTACAGGCACAAACCACCAGGCCCAGCTAATTTTTACTATTTTCTTTTAAATAGAGATGGGGTCTCACTATATTGACCTGGCTCGTCTTGAACTTCTGGACTCAAACAGTCCTCCTGCCTCAGCCTCCCAAAGTAGTGCTGGGTTTGCAGGCATGAGCCACCATGCTCAGCCCTTTTTTTTTTTCTTTTTGAGATGGAGTTTTGCTCTTGTTGCCCCGGCTGGAGTGCAATGGAATGATCTTGGCTCACTGCAACCTCCACCTCCTAGGTTCAAACGATTCTCCTGCCTCAGCCTCCTGATGAGTATTTTTAGTAGAGATGCGGTTTCACCGTGTTGGCCAGGCTGGAGTTGAACTCCTGAGCTCATGTAATCTGCCTGCCTAGGCCTCCCAAAGTGCTGGGATTATAAGCATGAGCTACAATGCCTGGTTTTTGGTGACATTTATGTAGCATTACCTATTTCATTGTATGGAGGTACCATTTGAAAACAACATATACCTTACATTCTTTTGAAAAGGATAGAATCTCATGAAAGCTTGTTACAACTACTAAAAGCTTAGAACTCATTAATTTACATAATTCAAATTTTCCAGTTACTCTGTTTCTATATCACAATATACAAACCTAGATATAGACTTATAAGTGACAAAATTTTCTTAGATTGTTTAGAGTGAGGATGAGTGTTGGAGAAGAAATAAGACAAAGTTTGTGAGGTTATTGTCTTGAATGGTTCTTAGAAAAAAATACTGATATTTCTTATGGAATATTGGTCCTCCTCATTCACTTAATAGATGATTTAAGGTGGAAAGCACTTGACAAACACCATTTCTTTGAGCCAATGACTGGTTACCTTGTTTATTCCCACATTAGGTGCTAATTGTATTGTTAATTCCATGTATTGATAACTGGAAATCATAACAACAAAATCACTACAATTTTGAATCCTCTGTTGTTACCTTTTGTGAATCCCAACTGATTAAATCAAATCCGGGTCTTCCTATCTTTCACAACTATTTTCTTGAAAACTGGCTTTCAGCATCTATAAAGAATTTTATGTAACAGATTATTTAAATAGGTTAGGGAAAAACAGATTTTCAAAATGAATTTTTGCTTCATGATGTCCTTGGAGGTTTATAGGCAAGTCAGTAATACAGAGGTATAAATGTAAAAGGAATTTGACCATCTGACATAGCGTTGCTTTTATACCATTCTTGTAGCACTTAAGAAAGTATGATGCATAATAAGAAGGCCGCCTGTTTGTGTGAAACAATGACAAAAAAGTCTGGTACTTGACTTTGCTGAAGGTTATTAGAGACTTACTGCCAGAAGTGCTGACTGCTTCCTTAAGTCCGTCTTAACTTCAGGGTCCTGTCTGGGGGAGATTGATGTGATTTAGTAATATTAGCTCACAGCACATACAATCACATAGTTAATTAACCATGCTTTATTCTAATATATAGATTTATCTCTTTGGAGGAAAGAATGAGATGGGTGTTATATCAAGGCCAAACTTATGTCCTGAAAATTATTTTAACATGAGTATAGAAAGAAACATTACTACTGCTGCTTCAATTATTTGTATTTTTAAAAATAATTATTCTTCTTTGAAATATCCAGGCAGAACATTAGTGTTTCAATTTTTAGATGGTCCTTTGCTTTGGAAAAAAACTATGTGCATCTTAAAAAAGAAAGACTGTAACCCAGAGTTACAAGGTTAATTAAATCAGAAAAACAATTTAATACTATAACAGTAAAATTGTCTTCTGAGGAAGTAACCATCAATATAATATCCACATTAGCTTCCTGTTGATGCAGAAATTATTGTAACAGTGCCAGCTTTTTACAAGCTGTCTTATAATCTTCACACTGCAGCTCTGCTCTTATCACAGCTTGTGGAATTAGACAGGAAATTTAGCCCTGGAAATAAGGAAGTTTCTCCTATATGGCTCAACCTTTGACAGTGTTTGAATATATATTATATTTGTGGCATTAGACTTCCAGATTTTAAGGAGAGATTCCCATTGAGTCCCATTTTTCTTTTAATAGTTTTTTTAGGGAAAGGCAAGTCATAAATTGTCTTTCAGTTGGCATGTTCATTTGTATAATAAAAGTTTAAAATATTTTATAATTAAAATAGAGTAAAACATGTTATAGAATTCATCACTGTATTAATGTATTTATTATTATTTAATCTTTTTTTTCTGCCATGACTATCTCAATAAAATATGCAAGTTGATAAGATTTAAAGTTGGAGTGACTGTTTTTTGTCTTACCCTCTTAGAAGGGCATAAAATCGTTTTAAATATGAGTACGTATTAGTGTTTTTCTTTTATGTTTTTAGCTTACAAATTTGGAGAGAAAGTGGCAACACCATGAGCAAAATAATTTTGTGATGAAAGAATGTATCCTTTAAAAAGATGAAAATGAAGTTGACTGTTACTTTTTTTCTAGGAATGTTTTAAAGACTCAAATTTAGTTCAACACATTAAATACTGAATATGTACAAAAAACACTGAGCTAAATTAAATGAATACGACTGTTTCAACTCTACAGTAGTTAAGGGGTGTGTGTGTGTGTGTGTGTGTGTATACGTGTGTGTACCCTAAAGGAACTAATAGAAAGCAGACGTTGGGAATTGCCAAAAAAAAAAAAAAAAAAAAAAAAAGGAGAACAGAGACTTACTGTGGCATAGTGATTAAGTGCCCAGATTTTGGAGTCAGGAGATCCAATTTTAAATGTTAACTCTACTACTTATAAGTTACAGACTTTGAACAATTTTACTTTTCAAGCCAGAACTGTATTATCTATTAAGATTCAGTTTTCCAGGATCACAGGGCTTGGGTAAAGTTAAACATTATCAGTAAGTCATCTGGTAAACGTGGCAAGAATTTCTTTTTGGCTTAGAGACAGGAGTCTCGCCAACCTGGCCAGGCTGGTCTCGAACTTCTAGGCTCAGCCCCACCTTGTCCTGCTACAGTGCTGAGATTAGAGACATGAGCCACTGCTCTTGGCCTCAGAATTGTATCATCTCTAAAATCTTTAAATTATAGTTAATATGTCCTTCTCATAGTGTTCTTGGGAGAATTATATATATCTTAAGTATAGATACACATTTATATAATATATAGTTGTTTGTTGTTTATAATGTTCTACCTTGATTTCTGGGCAGCAAAGGGGAATAAACCAAATTAGACTGGGGAAGCTTAATTTCCAGGTTCATCCATGTTTCAGCCAATTCAACTTCATCTTATGTCTACAAAGATGATACTTTATGTTTCATCTTACTGTTTACTTTTAGTGTGATTATAGGAAGCAGCAAGCAGCTGTTGAGAACATGTATTGTGGAGTTGTAACAAATATTTTCTTTAAAGTTGTTTCCTGTTCCCTTCTGTGACCCATTCAAGGGTATCTCTGCCTGGAGAACTAGATCCTGACTCAGTGGCAGCTTAGGTTCTCTCCTAGGGTGGTGCTGAACTTCTGCTCAAAAGCAGCCTGGACCCCAGCTTACCTCCAGATAAGATGTTTTAGTTGCTCTGTTGCCAGCGGTAGTGAAACTTAGTTTAAAAGCAGAAGACTCACTTACAATGTGCTTTAAGTCTAGAACTCTAGTTTTGTGCAACGTAAAGTAGGTGATTTTGGAACAGAGTGGAGTCTAGAGATTTACCTTAAATTCTTTGTGGTACTCTAGAGAACATGGTATGTGTATGTGTGTATGTGTGTTGACTGTGGGAACTAGTTCATTGAATGTTAGATTGTTCTAAGACCAGCGTTAGATTAAAATGTATAACATATTAACTATTAAAAAGTGTTTATATTGCATATGAATTTTTTGAAACAAGTTTAGCTTGGCATTTTAGGGCTTAATTGATGCTTAATCTGTTAAAGTAACATACTCTATTTTAAGGTATTGTGCTTTTTTGGTACCATCTTTAGTATGAAAAAATATCAGTATTATTTAGTTCCTTTCTCTGCCACAATTAGATTTTTATTAACATTATTTCTCCCTTAACTCATGTAATTAGTCATAGCCACCAAGAGTCAAGAGAGTGATTACCGACCAATTATGAAAAATGTGACCAAGCAGATTGCAGAGTACAATAAAACCATCGTGGATGCTTTACATAGCACTAGCGGAAACTGAGTTTAAGTCAACTGAAAGTCTCTAAAGAATTATCCTCTTGCTCGTCAACTTGGTACAAATTGACTAAATAAATAAATAAATAAACTTTACCTTTGGAGTTTACCTAAAAGTTTCTGAATGTTATAATTTTTGTGGCCTCTTTGAAGAATTATATTTTAAAATAGTAAATAGTTCAATAAATTGTTTGCATATTTAAAAGTGTCATCTTCTTTTCTTTTATGATACTTCTCTTTGAACCAAGAGATAAACTAAAAGTGACCATTGAAATTTATTTAGCTGGTATAATCCGTCTGTGGCAACAAATGAGATAATCTTTTCTTGTATCAACTTTCAAAGGGATTCATGGAGTATGATTCTGATTTAGCACTTATGTCAACCTTGTCAATTTTTACCTCTAGAAAAACAATAGTAAGATTAGAAGGGAGATTTTTAGCTTTGAACCTTTCTTCTGAAATAGATTATATTTGATGTGTATTAGACCATATAATGTCACAGGTAAATATATAACACATATTCTTTATATAGCAGTTATACCTGAAGATTTAGAATTAGAAACTTTTAATCTTTGCAATTCTTAAAGTATTTTTTCACATATAAACCTGGAAGAACATTAGGTAAAAGACTACCTATATAGTGGGCTATTTTGGACTATGGCTACTGCTGTTCTTTGCCACCCTGCAGTATGTGTTTACTCTTTTATACTATTAGGGGAATTTAAGTAGATGAATTTATAAGCATTAGCCAGAACATTTGGGAAAAAAAAGTTAGAAGAGGTAGGATTGGGAGAGAGGCTTAAAGTCTGGAACGCATAGTAACTGTAGATGTGTCTTCTCTTATCATGTAGGAATGAGTCACCTTAGCCAGCTTTAAATACTAGTTAAAACTATCCTACTTTTGTTCTCATGTCATGTTCACTAAGTAACTCTACTTTTAAGTATTTCTGAAACCCAGCACAGTGGTTTCTTAAAAAAAAAAAACTGTATTGAGATATTATTTACATACCTTAAAATGTACTCATACATGTTGATTTTTTTTGTTTGTTTTTGAGATGGCGTTTTGCTCTTGTTGCCCAGGCTGGAGTGCAATGGCGTGATCTCAGCTCACTGCAACCTCTGCCTCCTGTTTTCAAGTGATCCTCCTGCCTCAGCCTCCCAAGTAGCTGGGACTACAGGCACGTGCCACCACACCTGGCTAATTTTCTGTATTTTTGGTAGAGATGAGGTTTCACCATGTTAGCCAGGATGGTCTCCATCTCCTGACCTCGTGATCTGCCCGCCTCGGCCTCCTAAAGTGCTGGGATTACAGGTGTGAGCCACCGTACTTGGCCATATGCTGATTTTTTTAAAGTAAATACTTATAATGGTAAATCATTCAAATCCAGTCTCTATATATTTAAATAAAGGAATGTGCATTGTTGAGCTTGCTTAACTCAGGATTACTAATATGGCTGAAGATCCTAGACAATATATTCATTAAGGTGGCATTCGTAAAATGTGTTCCTCAATACCTGAGCATCTTGAGTTATTAATACTGTTAAGCCTCCAAAGGATTCATGCTCAAAGAAGTTTGGGAAACATTGTCTGAAGTCAAGGTGAATTGTGTTTTCTTGTCTGCTCATAACCCTTACTATGCTAGTGTATAATAAGCTCAAGAAGAATAGATACTGTAAAGCATTTCCCAGAAATAGTTGTCCACAAAACCCTTACTCTCACAGAGCCTAGGTCACATGAGACGTGTCATTCCTAGAAACAGACTTTGTACACCAAATAGACTTCTTAACACTAAAATAATATCATCTACTCAAGTCCTTTGGGTGGCTCTTTGGCCTTTTTCAGATGACTGCTGAGTATGTCTCTTTTTAGCCACTGTCAGTTTTTTTATGCTGTGGTTGTATGGAGTTTTCCATTGGAAATTGGTAGCAGAAAGTGCTTATTAAATTTCACATGGGGAAAAAATATCTTTAGCAGTTAAAAGAGAGTGAAATCTGAAATTCAGTAGAAATAACAAGTAATAGATTTTGATAACAGTTTGCCTAGCCCTTCGTTCATTTGTAAAGTATTCCTGTAATTTGGTGATTAGTAGTCTTTATGGATATGCCTGACTGCTAAAAAATGTTCCTCTTTTATACAGTAACAACCACAGGTATGAGTGAGCATAGAGTTTAGGCAAGAGAACTGACTACCGCAGTCTCTTGATCCCATTTATTCTACGTGGATACTTTCAAGGAGGAAGTGAATCTGGAAAACATGTTTGTGGACAGGTAATGTTTGCTCTCCTTTTTTGAAAGTAAATTTAAATGCCTTTACTTTCTCCTTAGTTTTTAAAAAAATTTCTACATAAGTGTTCTTGACATTTTACTCTACCCTTTAAACTCATAACCAACTTAGTAATTTTTACTATTAGTAACAAGGGTATTTTTCTGAGTGATGGGATTATGGGTGATTGTAATCTTCCTTGGGCTTTTTGGTATTTTCAAAATTGTCTATGATGTACATATAATACTTAGAAAAGCAACAAAATTCAAATAAAGCACTATGTACAATTACTGTGTACGGTAACTTGTGGAAAGGATGTAGTAAAAACTCTTCAGTCCTTGACTCTAACTAGAACTGAACCAATCTTTACCCAGAAAGAAAGTAGGAGGGGCCAGGTGCGGTGGCTCACGCCTGTAATCCCAGCACTTTGGGAGGCCCGAGGCAGGTGGATCACCAGGTGAAGAGATCGAGACCATCCTGGTCAACACGGTGAAACCCCATCTCTACTAAAAATAGAAAAATTAGCTGGGCATGGTGGTGCACACCCGTAGTCCCAGCTACTCAGGAGGCTGAGGCAGGAGAATTGCTTGAACCCAGAAGGCGGAGGTTGTGGTGAGCTGAGATCGTGCCATTGCACTCCAGTCTGGCTGGGTAACAACAGCAAAACTCTGTCTCAAAAAGGAAAGTAGGAGGAAGATTTGGCCTGTCCATTAAACATACGTGTTTGCATTATAACAATGAGAAACTTGGCAGGAAAAAAAAATTTCTTGACAAAAAGCAAGGTTTCCAATTTCCATCCTAAATTACTCATATATAATATTTGGGGGGGGGAAATAATTCAGCAGGATTTCT